TTCGAAATGAATTACTCCTTTGATGTCCCACCAAATGCAAAGCATAACTTTCTGTGGATGGAGTCCAAGTTTTGGGGTCGGAAGTGGTTTTTTTCTAGGACTGAGCCATTGTTTTTGGCGTTTAATATTCGTATAGAGAATCCATTTTTCATCACCGGTGACAATCTTGTCCAAAAATGGTTCACCGCATTACACACCAGAAGAGACGAAGCAACGTTCACACGTTAGAAACGATGAACATCGGAGAGTTCGTGAGGCACCCAAACACCTTCTTTATAGAGTTTTCCCATACTCCTTAAATGTTTACGTATTGTGTCATGAGAGACATGCAATTTCAGGGCCATTTCCCGAGTGTGTTGCATTGGGTTAGACACAACGAGCGTCTTCAGAGCATCAATATCAATTCCAACATATCGGCTCCTGCCATCACAGTTTTGAAGGCTAAAGTCACCTGAACGAAATTTGCTGAACCATCGTTAACACTTACGAACGTTTAAAACATTTCCATAAACTTCTTTGATATTCTTTGTGGCTACAGAGGCGTTATTTCCCTTTTTGTATTCAAACAGCATTACATGCCGAATGTGCGTCTCGTCGTGTGCCATTAGAGTACACTAAACTTTAGACATTATTTTGGCTACACTGACGTGACGTTTAGGCGGTTCGTTTAACTATTATAGGTGATGTACGTTTTATGGGTGGTGTTTAATGAAAGTGTTCCAAAACGCGACATTAATCTCTTGACGACCTAATATTAAAAAAAAGAAAAAAAGAGTTACTAATGCTATGCAGTTCTTTTGCAATATCTGTATCGCACAGTTCTTACATTGGATTTAAAGTGGGTGTATCACAATTTTGTTGTTAAATTGTTTGTGTGTCACAATTTTAGCTGGACATAAAGTGTATGTCAAGTATAAATTGTGGGTGATTGACACACAACTCTTATATGCTTATAAAGTGTTTGTTTCACATGGTCGTTATATCAAGTACAAAGTGTGGATAATACTCTTGTTATATCTAAAGTAACTGTGTCAAACAGCCATTCTTATAGACATAAACTGTTTATGCACAGTTTCTTTATAACAAAGACCTCGATTTAAATCGTAACTCTGGCAAAAAAAAAAAGTCGTTAAGGACTTAATAAACACGATTGGAGCCAAAAAACTAATCCCGTGATTTCAACTCACTTTAATTATTTTCTTTTTAGAGGTATTTTAAATATTCAAATGTAAGTAAAGAAAATTGTGTACCACAAAAACGTAGGAAAATGTATCTGATCTTGATAAATCAAGCTTGCATTATCTAATCAAAAAAGCTATTGAAAGCTGTGATTACCCCTACATTTATGCACTCAATGTATCAATTTGCCTTTTCGTAGGAAGTTTGTTTGTTAACATCTGTGAAGTTGTAGTATACGTCATAAGTTGATGTTGTTCAGCAAGGTATAAGAAGTTCAACATGCAGTAGGAAAGGTTTTGCTTCTTTATAACGGGAACTAATTCTAGAAAGTAGATTTGGATCAATGCAGGTGTCTGTTCGAAATATTGTACAATTAACACACACACCCTTTAAGAAATGTGTATTTAACCACGTATAAATAGAAGTAGAAAGCTTATTTGTTTGTAGTTAAGCACAAAGCTACGTAATTGGCTATCTGCGCTGTGCCCACCACGGTTATCAAAACCAGGTTTTTGTCGTTATAAGCTTTGAAACTTACCGATGAGCTACTGGGGGACATGGAATAAAAAGATAGATTTTTAATGCCCCCCTTCCGTTTAAAATAAGAAGTGCATAATTTCCGGTATCCACAACATACTTAACTTACAAAAACAAACTTAAAAAGAAAAACCAAAAAACGATAATCCTCCGAAGGTGCTTGGATTGTAGGATTTTTCTATTTTGTGGTTATTCTAATTTTTGATCCTATGAGATTTCCTGGTGACATGAGAACAGACAAAGTAATGATGACAAACTTCAGCACTGTGACAAATATCAATTTTCTCAACATGATAATACAGTGTTAAATCCATCAGGATCTCTCATGTTTTCTCTGTTTCAAAGCCGTACGCTGCTATTAGGCATTAATCATGTACTCAGGAAAATTTGTTTGTTTGAAGTTAAGCACAAAGCTACACAATGGGCTATCTGCCCACCACGAGTATCGAAACCCGGTTTCTAGCGTTGTAAGTCCGCAGACATACCGCTGTGCCACTGGGGGGTGGGGGGGACTTCAGGAAAGAAACAATGAAATTGTCTGGCGTCAAACAATGGAAGTTCACTGAGAACTTATAGCAGTATGAAAGAAGAGCAACCTATAACAGATGAACTTTTGACCTGAGATAAAAAGATCATTAGAATTGAACGTTTTTAACGTTAAAAAAAAGACGAAACTTAACATAAATATTTTTTCGTTAATGAAATGTTGTTTGAATTGTCGATGCTTTAGAAGCTTGCGCCAAAAAAAATTGGTTTGGTTTATTTTGAATTTCGCGCAAAGCTACACGAGGGCTATCTGCGCTAGCTGTCTCTAATTTAGCAGTGAAAGATTAGAGGGAAGGCAGCTAGTCGTCACTGCCAACTCCTGGGCTACTCTTTTACCAACGAATAGTGGGGTTGACTGTCATATTATAACTCCCACACGGCTGAAAGGGCGAGCATATTTAGTGGGGCGGGGGCTCGAACCCGCGACCCTCAGATTGTGAGTCCAGCACCCTAACTACCTGGCCATGCCGGGCCAAAACGTTGGTTTCTAAATTTCTGAAGATATGGTACTGTGTTTAAAGCATAGAAGTGTTAGTGTTGATTAACACACGGTACTCCTACCATCTGTATAAAGCTGGACCGACGCGGCCTTGGGGTTAGCGTGTTGAACTGTAGGTCCAGTGATCTATGGCTTGCGTCCCGTTACTGTTAGTGTTGATTAACACACGGTACTCCTACCATCTGTATAAAGCTGGACCGACGCGGCCTTGGGGTTAGCGTGTTGAACTGTAGGTCCAGTGATCTATGGCTTGCGTCCCGTTACAGTAAATAAAAACGAGTCAAGGGTGTGATATAACAGTGAATGCTATTCGGAGGCAGTAGCCCAAGAGTTGATATTGAGTGCTGTTGACTATCTACAGAAA